GGGTTTCAAAGTATTCCATATAGAGGTTTGCAATGACAGGTGAGAGGGGTGATCCCATGGGAGCTCCTTCTATTTGTTTGTATTTTTGTCCGTTGTAGATGAAGTATGTGTTGGATAGGCAATGGTTGGTTAGATCCAGGATATGCTTGGGGGGATTATATTTGTTTTGGATAGCTGTCAAGGCTTCTTTGATTGGCACGGGTGAAGAGGGATATGACATCAAAGCTCACGAGAAGGTCACTGGGCTGTAAGCTTTGTTTCTTTATGATCTCTATGAACTGGAATGAATTTTTTACATGTGAAGAGATGGATTCTGCATAGGGTTGTAGTTGTTTGGTGAGAAATTTGGCTAGGTTTTGTAGAGGTGAGCCTATGGAGCTGACTATGGGTCTAAGTGGGGTTCCTTCTTTGTGTATTTTGGGGAGACCATAGAGCTTAGGGCATCTGGATGATTTTTCTCTGGGGATGATTCTTTGCTTGATCTCTTCTTTGATGGGGGAGGCCAAAGAATTAAGGGAGAACTGGAATAGCCATTTCGAACTTTTTAGTTCTTTTCAACCAGACATACCCTTCTGAGATTCGAACCTGGGCTGTCTGCATGTTAAGCAGATGTATTAACCTCTATGCCACAGGCTCTTTCTCACTTTGTCAGCTGTGAGACAGGGGAGAAGAATTATCTTGAGTTTGGTGCACCCTGTCGGCCCAAATATGGGAGAAAGGAATATTTTGCCTGTATCAGCTCAAACTAGAGCCATCCACAGGCAGCAGTCGCAACTGCGACATCATATGTGTTTTTCAAAATTTGGATTGCTAACAAAGAATTAAGGGAGAACTGGAATAGCCATTTCGAACTCCAAGTATTTGGAGTGCAGGAACACAGGCAGCTGGGCCCGGTTACGCATTCACGCAGCCGGATGCAGGCACTTAGAGGCTGCATATAAGTTTCCTCCCACAAACCGCCTTCTTTGAACCCTGATAATGTCGGGAGTGCCCGACGAAAGCTCAGTTAACTTGTATTTTATTAAATGCTTTTAGATGCTTTTAATATTCTCTTGGTGATCAATGCTATTTATTGTTTTACTATATGTATATGTATTTGTATATGTATATATAAAATTATTTATATGGTTACCCATCTCATAACAATGACTCAGTTTGATGAGGAAAAACTAACACCAATTTTCAAGCTATTTACATATCTACATAATTGTCATCTCATGCAAGCTACAATTAACTTACTAATGAGAATGTCAAATGCCTTGTTTAAATCATTATATACTATGTCTACAATATTGCCCCCAAAGAATGCCTAATGAAAAATGTGATAAGATTAGTGCATTAGCTTCTAAAAAATAAAGTGGCAAGTAGTTTCCTGTATCAAAATTATAAATTTGGTTATAAAATCAGAAAGAGTTATCAGCTTTTTCCAGTATGTACTATGAACAGATTAAATTCACTTCTTTTAAAATGAAAAGATATTTATTCGAAGCTGTGAATATACTATAATATTATTTTGGAGATTTCAGATTTACCAATCCTGTGTCTTTGAATAATATGACAAATTGGGGTTTTTGTTTTGTTTTTTTCTTTGTTTGTTGCAGAACATGATGCAACTAAATTACTATCAATTTATTGAAACAAGATACAAATGTATATCTTGTCTTTGATGAAGAAAAATACCTTATTTCAATTACTTTTTTCCTATATTTTTCCCCACTCAGAACATTAGCTGCTATTAGGTAGCACTTTCTTTGTACAACAAAATGAGATGTGATCAAAGATCTTCCCATTTGCTGAAACATTATTTCGTAGACATAGTGATTGAGTTAGCTCTCATTTATTATCCATTTTGCCAAGAAACCATCCATAGTGCACCTGGAATTACTGCTTTCCAGAAATTTTATAAACTACAGTCTGACAAACTTTGTCATTTTTGTTTAATTATAATGTCACACCTTTACTATAATATCTGATATATTACAATAACCCACAACATCACAACCAAAGAAGCTAGTGTTATTGAGTCTGGGTGTCTATGGATGATATATTAGTTAGTAATAGTGGGTGCTCCATCACTGGAGATTTTTAAGAAGAGACTGGATAGTCACTTGTCTGAGATGGTATACAGTAGGTTCTCCTGCTTGAGTGAGGGACTGGACTAGAAGACTTCCAAGGTCCCTTCCAACTTCTATTCTATTCTACTCTACTCTACTCTACTCTCCGCTACGCTATCCTATGCTATTCTAGTAAATAATGAATTTTGTAATTATGGGTTTCACATAACATTTTTGGGGTATCATTCATGATTATAGGTTACATTTCTTGTCTGTGAATTAAGCTATTACCAACTCTAAAGCCATTATGTATTTAGTATTCCAGACTATGCTGAAAATATGCTTTTGGGGGATTTTATCACAGAAAAAAGAACTTGGAGAGAATGTTGTCACTGATGTGAAGAGTTTATTATAGCTTCTTCTCCATTCATTCTGTTGCCATTCCCAATGTCAATTCTTGTTCTAAGTTATCTGAGCCTGTCAATGTATGTAAATTATCCCAGGTTGCTTTATGAATAGCCCCATACCTGACAGAATAGAATACTACAGTACATGAAAGCTTGTAAAAGAGATTTAAGTTGATCCATACATATATTTGGTGTGTGAATGTTTGTATGCACTCCACATGTATTTGTTATAATGGGAAATTGTGTGGAAACTCTTATACTACCAAGTGCTTTTATTCTTTAATATATAGTACAGCTTCTGGCCTCAGTTTAAACGCCATATATGTATGCTGATATTTCATATGGACATGTGAAAGATAACCCTCACCTCTGTTTTAGAGATGGCATCATAATGACAACAATAACAATACCTTCCCAGACTCCCTTTTATCAGTAAAAATAATACATATGTAGAAGAAAAATCCTTCCAATTGTTTTTGTTCCAATTACATTAGTATAGACATTTATAAGTTACATAAGCCATAGGATACTAATGGTCTCTTCATTATTGTTCATTATTGTTTTCCTGAGAAAGCAGTTGTCTTGGCAGAGTGCTAAATTATATGTTGCCTCTTTCCTGCCCTTTACTTCATTGTGTTAAAATAATCCTGAAGGTCTTCCCTACTTTATAAATATTCCATTCTTTAATTTCTAGGCTCTACCTGAAGGGCAGACAGCATCTTGGGACACCGCCAAAGAAGATGAAAACCGCAATAAGAATAGATATGGCAACATCATCTCCTGTAGGTGCAAATTCAAACTGAACTGAACTTCCTGTGTGTATCTGTAAGCATCTTATATGTATAAGAGCATAACTGTAACAAAGAATAACTTCCTAGTCTTCCTAGTTTGGAACATTTCAGCTTAATAACAGCTTCTGTGTTAGTGTTCTCCCTTCCCCCATTTCTTTATTGATTTATTGATCTTTGTACAGATATACATTGGTCTCAGTGAAGTCAAGTGACTAAAATCTACTTTTTGGGGTGAGGGGTTGGCATTTTCCTTCAATTTAAGAGATCTGGGAAAAGAGGTAGGGGAACATCAGTTTCATGACATCAAGCTCTTTTCCTAGCTGAGTATATGGCTTTTTGTTGGCCAGGAACCTATTTTCTTCAGGGCAAAATGCAGGCAGAGCTATTGATGAATTTTGTTATTTGGGACATAGTGTTATCTCTACATGTTCTACTCAACATATAGAACTTGGGTCAGGAAACTTTTTCTACCTGTTTCAGTAGTGCAGGCTGAGAGAGATTAAAGAGTGATGAACCTCTGATGTGATTCAGATCATAGATAAAAGATAAACAGTGAATATTTATGTACAAGATTCATTTATAAATGTATAAGGTTTGGTGTCACTTGCAGGTAAGCAAATTCTACAGATTGGCTGCTATCAGCAATAAGGCCCACTGGGCTCAATTCACTGGCCCATATCCAGAGAAGGAATCATAAACAGGACTTCCCTATCAATCTCAGTGCATAAAATCGATCTCACTAAAAATTGTCCCTGGAGTTGAAAAGAGCAGGGCTACTACATTTGAGAGACTTCTAGGTATTTGTTGGCATTACTTTGGATTGCAGAGTGAAACCAATATTTGTGTTGCAATATGACCAGTAGCATGGCAGCTAGATTTTCACAATTGCTCTGTGTTGTTAAGTTGTGATTTGGGACAATTGACTAATTTTAGTTGGCACTTTAGAAAATAAATCAAAGAAATATCGTTCATGTACTTGTTCTAAAACATTAATTCACCCACCCTATGATATATTTAGAAAGCATTACCCCATCCACCTGCATTAAAAAAAATCAGAATTCAGATAACAGTAGAACATGTATAAGATTGAACTGTAAATATTTTATATTCAATAAGTTTGTAATGTATAATGTAAGGTATAATAATATAATGTTAAATAATAGCATAAAATATATCATAATATAACAACATGCACAATTACTTTAATTCAAAATGAAAAAGCTTTGGAGAGGATTTGGATACTTGCTACACCTATTGATGGGGTAGCAAGGGGACTGGAGGCTAAAGCATATAAAACATATAAAGAATGGCTGCTGGAATTGGGTATGTCTAGTTTAATAAAAAGAAGGAGACATGATAACAGTGTTCCAATATCTCAGGGGGTGCCCCAAAAAAGAAGGGATCAAGCTATTCTCCAAAGCATCTGAAGGCAGGATAAGAAGCAACAGATAGAAACTAATCAAGGAGAGGAGAAACCTGGAAACTAAGGAAAAAAATTCTGTCATAATTAATCAGTGGAATAACTTGTCTCCAGAAGTTGTGAGCACTCCAACACTGGAAGTTTTTAAGAAGAGATTGGACAACCATTGTCTGAAGTGGTATAGGGCTTCCTGCCTGAGCAGGGGATTGTACTAGAAGACCTCCAAGGTTTCCCTAACCCTAACACTTTCAACTCTGTTATTCTGTTATTGATACATCGCTAAAAAGACACACTTTTTTTTACTGGAGTTTCATGTAATGTTAGCGTACAATGAGCTTGATATGTATATTTCTGGAACTGTGTGGCTTCTAGGTGAACCAAAAAACTGCAAATAGATGCCTCAGATCAGGGGTTCCCAACTCCCGGTCCATGGACCCGCACTGGGCCACAGCATGATAGAAACTGGTTCACACAGACAAGCAAAGCCCCATCCATAGAATGCAGGCCGCATGCGAAACCATGCCTCGTCTGATCCACAGAAAAACCTCTCTCCATGAAATCAGTCCCTTGTGCCCAAAAGGTTGAGGGCCATTGCCACAGATAATAACATTTGCAAACACCTTTTCCACTTCAGTTCAAAATGTGATAGCTGCACAAATGAGAATGCTTTAAAAATGCTTTAAGGCTCATGTAATGTGTTTTAGGATACAAATGCAACCTAGCTGTCTGACTTAAACCACAATGCAGCTTCTAGTTCACATAAATTAAATTAAAATAGATTGAATCCAGGATGTATAAGCAAAGTTGTTTAACAGCACAAAGGAGGAATGATAATTTATTTATTAAGTATGTTAATGAGGCATAGAACATTGAGCACAAGGTAGGTAACTAAGAAAGTGCCAACAAAGCAATATCAAACTGATTAAAAGGATGTTAACCTTTAGGAAAATGTTTACAAAGTTGAATCATTGTTCAAGAAAAGGAGAAGCTTAACCACTGCTAAAATAAATGACAAAATAGACATATGAGCTTATGAATGTAAAGTCATGGATAACAAGATAATGACTTTTTCTCCTGGAAGAATTGTTGATTTGAATTAAGAAAGCAATTAATGGGGTTTCTTAGAAATAGTAGGAATATTTTTTTAAAAAAAAATGTGTCAGAAGTGACATAAAGTGGAGGGCTTTGTTTGAAACAATCCTCCAGCCAAAGACAAGTTAGTACTAAAGCTGTTGTGAAAGAAGGCCATTAACACCAGTCTGTCCTGAGAATCATTTTGGGGGACTGAAAGTATAATCGCTGCCCACCTTGTAAGAGGTGATTGTGAATGATTTTCTTCAGTATGATTAGAAAAAAATATTTTGTTGTGCTTGGTGACAGTCAGCCACATGTTTAGACTGGATTTGGTATTTTTATCCACTTATCAAGTCTTCTCAAGGATCTAGAGTAGGCAGATGTTGTTGTTTAATGGTATTAAATGTATGGTCACAGGATGTAAATTGCAACTAGCAAAGCTGTATTTTGCAATTGACTTGTAGTGATTTTGTCAATGCTGATGGTATTCAAATGGTGCTCCAAATATTTTGGAATTGCAAATCTTTGTATCTTGTGATTTTCTCCAGTTTTTGGCTTCTATTCTGCTGTCTCCAGGTACTGTCATGTCCACACCTTTTGTTTTCTTACCAATAATTGCTAAGTCTTTATGTGGCAGGTGTTTGTCTGCTTAAATTCTCAAATCCCAGAGCACTAGCATTTTCATTTTTTATTACTTTGTCTATTTTACTATTATTATTTATGGCTGCCCACTCCAATAGAATCTAGGTACAAATTCCAAGTGCACATTAAAAACATGACTACTAGTTTGAATGAAGTAAAGAGGGGAAAAAAAGAACTAAAGGAGTCTCCAGAGAAGATAATGCCTCTTAACAAATTAAACATCTTCAGTGGCAATTATGTGTGTTAACAGTAAGAGAAATGGATATAAAAATAAATTATGTGAAGCAAAAAAAAAGTTGAGCTTGCAAATAAACCTGAGAAGAGGGTAGCATATAAATTACAAAAAAGAAAAAGAAAAGAAAATTATATTGAAACTACAATAGAGAGATATGGTGTTAATGGCAATGTGGCCATGCAAAAAGCATCTCATCAATATTATTATAATTTGTATAAAAGAAATGACATCCCTCTAGAGAAAATATATGAATATCTAAAGCAACAGAATTTACTGAGGATAGATTATGAATAATAGAAGAAATTTCTGAAGCTATAAAAATATATAAATTAGGAAGAGTTGGACCAGATGGATTAGTAGGTTCTAATTATAAAAGTTTTGAGGATGATTTTTTACAACCTTTACAATCCACAGTGAACTCTATCCTATAAGAGGAAAGCTGCCAGAACCCTGGGAAGAGGCCAATACAGCATTAATACCTAAAGAGGGACATACAAGTTATTTATAATGTTTCTGGCTAATAGACAGACAATAATCTTGTGGAGGTTTACCTAAAAGACAGTTAAAGGACAATGTCAGAAATATATTAGATATTTTGGGATAGTTGGAGCAACATAATAAAAAAAAAAACAAGCCATATTGATTTTCTTAGATGCAGAAAAGGCCTTTAGTTTGAACTGGGCTTTTTTGTTTAAAGTTTTAGAAGTTATGAATTTTGGAGTGACTTTAATAAAATGGATAAAGTTAATTTGTATTTCAAAGAAACTATAAGTAATTGTTAATGGGGATTTAACAAAACCCTGTGAGATACAAAAGGAACAAGGCCGGGGTGCTCACTGCCCCTTCTTTTGTTTATTTTACTTCTGGGAATATTGAATAGAGATGTAAGACAAGATGAGATAAATGTAGGAGTAATTTTTTTTTTTAAAAAAAAGGAACTTAGAAGTTAAGGGTTTTTGCAAATGACTTGGTGTTGATTCTGGGAAATGCTTTAAAGCAGGGGTGTCAAACTGCCAGCGCACTGGCTGGATGTATCATGCCAAAACCGCGCCCACTCCAGCAATGGGGGAAAAGTTGTGATACATCACAACATGTCATGCGACGTTGTGAGTTTGACACCCGTGCTTTAAAGGGATTTGAAATATTAATGGACAAATTAAAGAATGTGGAACATTAGATTTTAACATTAACAAAGAGAAAAAAATGGAACAGAAGTGGTAAATAAAACATGTTTTAAGACTAAGACCAAGGCAAAATATTTGGGAATCATTATGATAAATATGAACCACATGTTAATTTCAAAATAATTATGTTGCGATATGGAATTAAGTTTAAATGGAATATATTAATATGTTGCAAATTACAACTATCATTGTTGGGGGAAAATTTTGTGATAAAAATGAATGTTTTATTTAGAATGATGCTTTTGTTTCAGACAATACTTTTATTGAAACTGATGCACCAGAAGCAGAATGATATATGAATGAATATAAGGTGCTACAAGATGCAAAGGAAAGAGAGTGCCTGGAGTTACCTAATTTGAAATTGTATTTTACAGCTTGCTTTTTGGTTTGGATGTTGTTGAGAAATAGAAGGATTTTGGACTTAGAAGGACAAAAT